TTTCAGTGACGTCATCCATGTGATATACCCATGAATATCCACTTGGCGGGCAATATACCATGTAATATCCATTTTTATTTTTTGTCATATGACCGAATCTCAACCAATCACAGCATGCGTAACAGCATTGGGATATGATAATATACGATACGTTTACTCTTATCCTTGTGTCCACAGAGAGCGAAACAAAACTGTTCAAGGCGTTGGTTGAGAGTATCGAAACTGTCGAAGGAGTTCACACAAGAAACACTGCAGTAAGATTAAACACTGTGAAAAATGAAAATTATCCGTCAAGCCCTTAAAAAAATAATTCATGATTTACAAATCTGAACCGAACTCTGTGTATTTACATTACAGACAATTGGAGGGCATATTGCCTTAGCGTCAATAACGTCAGATATAATTCCATTGCTCACCGCCAGCGGCTGTGATGTCACGATAATTGAAATAAGTGGTGAGTACAGGCAGTACGTGGTATTCAATGCAATACAGATCAATTCTGGAAAGTGATTGTTGTTGATTTTATACGTCACTGGTGTATTCTATCCTAGGTCAAGCAGAAATTATTCCTATGGACAAATACCTGATTAGAAAAAATACCCTGCTGAACGGAAATGGTCTTATACTGTCTCTTTTCATCCCGGTATCTGTTAAGGTAAGAGTTTACGCTGAATATATATCATTACGTCATCATTTAATGTGCACTGGCAGGACCCAGTACGTCATCGGTTACTGCGCTTATATGCAAAGGCTCGTGGGTAGACGCTTTTTTGTAAACAATTACACGCTATGGCCTTGTGACACATGCGCAGGTGACTACTCCCCCGCTTTAACTGTGTGCAAGCGGATCGATCATAAAATAAAGAACGTAAGCATTCACCAACGCCGTGATGTGCATCAACGGCACTGCGTATAGGTAATCTATATTCGTATGAAAGTTGTTCAAATTATGTGCTTTCATTTGAATAGGGCCAATGTTGCAGCGGTTACTGGAGTGACGTCCCACATCGGCAACACGCGGCGGCCAGTAATTACTTAAATGCTGGGATGGTTGCTACTTTGAAAGATGACGTCATTCACGACATGCGACTTTGCTTCGGAGGAATCGGAAGCAATGGGTACTTAAATACGATTGGACAAAACTTGGTTGGAAGGTAACACTGAGGAAAATCGTATGTTTCGGACTGGGTGCACGTCGCTGCTCAGTACGACCGAACTGATAATTTATCGTTTATTAACCAAATTACACAAATCTTTCACGACTCACAACACTTTTAATGTATTCAATTTTGTTTGATGTGTTTCAGCGCCTGGAATGATAACTTACTGAAACGAGTGTTTACTGAACTTGATCAGCTGGCTGCAGCCAGCAAGACTATAACTGACTATAAAGCTTCCATGATGAAAAGTTTTTTTTTCAAGTTTTATCACCAAGTTATGTTGAAGAAAAATAAATTGTTTTCGACAGACGTGATAAAATCAACAAAAAAGAGGGCCATTCGAGGAAAACAATGTTGGCAGGTATAGTCTGTTTGCAGAATATACACTTGTATTATAAAATAAATAATCACTTCACCAATACGCTGATATTTTCTAGGAATACTTCTGACTTTTGTGCCTATTTTCGTTTTAAGGAATACACTCAAGGGAATGTTGGTAATTCAGTGGTACATGTGTCAGCTAAAGAACAGGTCACGGGCGACGCGCAATATTTGGACGACATTCCTCCGAGAAGAGGCAAGTTGAATGATGATAAACCGTTGTTAATATATTCACGTATATGTTAATATATATGTTAATATATATGTTCAAATATATATCAATGACTAGATAGAAATGAATTAACCTGAAATAATTTAATGTGTATGCAAATAAGGCTCTACTAAGCAGACACAAAGTTCTGGTGTTAAACGTCCGGCAGCTCTGATTTCATATGAGTAATTATTCTACCATTGTACCCGCAGATGAGCTGTTCATCGGGCTCGTCAAGAGTACGTGCGCACATGCAAATATACGGTGAGATATATTGTATTTTCATATCATATATTAGTGATTGCGTTAATTCCAAAATTCTACGTTCCGTGTTTTGAATATTAAATGAGGGACTCACATTTTTATAAAAGTGCGCGTCACAATCTCATCTTCAAGTATCTTTTCGCAGTTCAATTGATGTTAACGCTGCTATGTCTATAGAGGGCGTCGTACGTTTTGTCGACTACCGCGATGTGCCTGGTAGTAATTTGACCGGTTGCCTGGTCCATGACGAGGAGATATTCGCGGTCAATAAGGTAAATTCTATAATAAATTGTTTATGTTTATAACGTTTTTATTGGGCTTCCTTAATGAAGTTACAATGCATATAAAGATTCTGAAACCTATTCTAAGTGCATTTATGATATATAGGGAATCAATGGGAACCACTTCTTATAATGTGCCTCTTTATTTGACTTTCAATTTCGAAATATCTTATCACTAAATGCTTGAAATAAAGTTTAATTGTCATTTTTTATAAACTTTACTTGCCAACTATATTCAGAAATACCCAATATCAAACAAAGTTTATTTGGCACACTAAAATCAAATAAGTTTCTACGAAGATTCATGAAATTCGACTGATTTTAATGATAACCCGTTGAACAACTATATTTTTTGGGTAGGTAACTTGTGTTGGGCAGATAATTGGGGCCATTGTGGCTGAAGACAGACACACTGCCAGAAAGGCAGCTGGACTGGTTAAAGTGGTGTACGAGCAACTGGAACCAATTATAACTTTTGAGGTATACTTATAAATGCCTACTTTGTCCATCTTCAGAGCACATTAAACACGTAATGCAATTTTAAACGTTGCGCCCTCTAACGACAAACCATCTCCGTGACAAAATAGGTAAAGAGCGGCCATTTATAAACAGCCATAGTGTTTTGAAGTTTGTTTGAAAGCTTGCATATACTCTAAATGACAAACCAATACACAGTTGTCATTTTGATTGGCATTGGCATTACGTTATTTCGACGTCATAGAAGACTAGTCAATATATATTGTACTATGTAATAAATTAGAAAAATATATGATACATATGCAGGAAGCGTTCGAGAATAATTCTTTCTATCACCCACACCACGAACTGAACCATGGCGATGTACATGCCGGTTTCTCCGATTCCGATGACGTCATCTCTGATGAAATGCGAATGGGTGGTCAAGAACATTTCTACATGGAAACTCATTGTTGCCTCGTCACTCCAATAGGCAGAAACGGCGAGATGAGCATTATTTCATCAACACAGAACACTTCACTTGTACAGGTATATATATTAAGTAGAGTTTCAAGAAGACCAATAGATTGAATATTGCGATGTTTGTTGATATGTTGTTACGTACGAGGTTCAAGAGATAACCTACACCAGGAGTTTCCTTCGTTACGTACCTAACGTAGTCAATCATTAAAATGTTAATGACTTTGTTTCACATTCACAGCGTACTGTTGCCAGCGCAATCGGGGTTTCAGCAAATAATGTTGTTTGTAAAGTAACTCGCCTTGGTGGTGGTTTCGGTGGCAAGGAATTCCGACCTATCATGGTCGCAACAGTCTGTGCTGTAGCGTCTCATAAGTAAGTACTACTTTTTTCCGTAATTGGTTTGGGAAGCGTCTGGATCAATAATGTTTTACTTCTAATAACGGTTCAGTAATATTTAATTCATTGCAACTTTTAATATCATCCAAACCTTGTATTATATGCGAATTCATGAATCCGTTCATCAATTTAAACAAACACCCCACCCACATTCATTCATTCATTCCTGATTTTTATTCCTCGAGTATAGAAAAATATAACAGTGACTAATTACAATGACAAAATTTCAAATTCCGATTACAGTATCAAACATGTATCAATGTTCACTTATAAAATATTACGAGTGTATGTCACAATGCAAGTCAATGCATACATGTGACGATATAATACATGCGAATTATAAAACTATTGGTTACATTATATTCAATAAAAAGCTTATTTGTAAAATCACAATAATATAAAAAAAACGTTAAATACGAGTATGATGTAACGATATTATTAACAGCAGATTGTCTCTCTAGTTTTCTCAGCCAGTATCCAGTACATCTGGGAAGCGTAGTATCTCTCCATCCAATGTTGCCACAGCAACATTCATGCACCATTGGAATTCGAAGACATCCAGTGACTTGGTAAGCATGTGATAATCGTATTCTCTCTTAATTCGGTGTTTTAGGCGAGTAGTGAAACATTTTGCTGCACAGACATCCGAGTCATCGTTAATTTTCTTGTATCTTGTAATGTGAATTGCAGTTTTCACCGAGACACAAAGGTAACACAGAATACGATGCGTTTGTGTTATTGCTTGGCGTCTTGGCGGACCCAGAACGTAGTAAGAGATTGGTACACTGTCTACATTGAGTAATGTACAAATAATAGATTTGAAAATGACAAAGAGTCGATTTAGTCGGCTACATTCAAGAAAAATATGGAGCAAATCATCCTTTTCTTCACAGAAACGACAAGTGCTGGTTTCTTGGATACGGGCATTTTGTAAAAAGCTACCAGTGGGATAGGCGCCATGTAGTAACCGCCACGTAAGTCGCCATCTTTTTTTGTTATTGGTTTCAAGTAACAGTCGCGAAAAACAGGCTGATGTTCCTTTTCCAATGAGAGAATATATGTCCATACGTTGTAAAAATATGTAGTGTGCTTTGAAAAATAAAGTTTAGAAATAAGAAATTTATAAATTTTTGCAACTTATAAAGTGGAAAATTTAAAAGTATGTCATTGTCTTCATCCTCATACAATAATTCGAGTGAATAATTCGAGTTGGTGACTTTTGTAGTGTTGTCACAATTTTCAATAATTTCTTAAAATTGACGTGGGATAGCTCTGTGCACCACATCAAGTGCAACATTCAAAAGCCTTCTAGAACATATTGGCACTTTGTTATACAAGATGTCACGTTCCAGCCACGCAGTCCCAGTGACAAGATCTCCAATTGTCGCAATGCCCGCATCACGAAAATGTGTGAGGGTGAGTGGCACACCATGCAAAGGGTGCAGAATCAGACTGTTGTACAAGAGCGGTTCCGGACAAACAGAGTAA